TTTTCCAGAAGAAAAAGGAACTTCTTGTTGGCAGGAGTCCTGCTACTGAACCTCCGAAGCGTGTTTCACTTGATCCCTTAAGACGGGGAGTTAAAGGCAGTGGAGAAAAGGAAAAGCACCCGTTGAGCAGCAAAAAGTTGAAGGGTTCCCCCCGTTCTGATTCTAGGTTATTGTCTAGTAGAAGTAGAGTGAAAAGTGAGTTATCAAAGTCCAGATCTAGAAAAAACTTTATTAAGAAGCTGGATGAACAACTGAATTCGGGGGCTGGTGATGGAATGATTGACGATGGTAATGGAGACGATGTTCCTGACATGCTAAATGTTGGTTTAGATACTCAAATAGCTGCTGAAGCTATGCAAACATTATGCTTTGGAGCTCCTGTGCTGGAAAATGATTGTAGCAATGAGAAGAAAGGTGATAAGACATTGACGGATGGTTCTTGCAAAGATCGAATTGATGATGAGAGTCTGTCAAAGCGAAGGTCCTCCAAGAAAAAAGCACGATCTTCAAGAATGTCCATGAGCACAATGCAGAAGGATGCCAGATTAGTTGAAGAGAACTATCAAGAAAGAGTGAAACAACAGAAAAGTATCAAGAAGCAAGGCAATGAAGAACAAGGGGCCCGATTAAAAATGATCAAGCCAAATATGACGAAACTCCATGCTTCAAGGGGAAGAGAAGAAGAGATAAGACAGGAGGAAAGACCACCAAAAGCAAGCGCAGGTTCCATGTCTGTCAAGGATTGTCACTCCACACCTGTAGCTCATCGAACTAGGCAGCACCAGGTAGAGAGTCAACCAAAAAGACGTCTGTCTGCCACTGCCACTTTTGATAGAAGCGGGACAGATGCTGAGGCTTGTGAGACTTTGATGGATCGAAGTACACTTGCTACCAATCAAACTGCCAACCTAAGAAATATGGAATCAACATGGGCCAGCCTTTCTGCTGTAGACTATCCCAAGGGAAGAAGAAGTCACCGGAAGATGCCTACCATGGGGCAAGAGACCACTACTCAATCTTGTAGAAGGTCAAAGAGATTAAGAGGTGACCAGACAAGTACTTCAATTAATGTCAGCACAAAAAAGAGAAAGTGTTCATCTGAATGCACTCTCCCCGATATTGCATCCTCAGAGAGGGGGTCTCATAAGAAGCTCTTACAGGAAGGCATAGATAAAAGACATCTGGATGGTAACAGCACTAATGATGCTTTTGCTGATGGAAGTGCAAAAACAATTCTACATAAGTCCATAAAAGATTCTAATAGGAAAACTAATGTAGAGATAACAAGATCTGTTGATGAAGCACAAGGAACAGAATCTTCAACAGGAGAGCAGTGTAAAGCGTCAGCTTCAGCGTGCACCACTCCCACCAATTCAAAAATCCAGAAGAATGCTGTGTCACCTATTTGTATGGGTGATGAGTATCATAAACAATCGTGCAGGAAGAATATGTCAAGATCATCTCTTTTGAGAGAAATCACTTCCTTACATTCTACTGGAACACAAATTGGCTCCACCATAAAAGATTCTAGGAAGAGGCGAGAAATGACTAATGTTCGAGTCTTGTTCAGTCAGCACCTGGATGCAGATATTATTAAACAGCAAAAGAAGGTAATTTCGCTATGATCTTTTCTTTGTTTGTGCAAATATTGTATGTTTTAAACCGGAATCACTTTATCATCTCTTCTTGCAGATCTTAGCCCGGTTAGGAGCCTCAAGCGTATCATGTATGTCCGATGCCACTCATTTTGTGGCTGATGAATTTGTTCGCACTAGAAACGTGCTAGAAGCTATTGCTGTAGGGAAACCTGTGGTGACACATCTATGGCTTGAGAGTTGTGGACAAGCTAGCTGTCTTATTGATGAGAAAAATTATATCTTGAGAGATGCAAGAAAAGAAAAAGAGTTCGGCTTCAGCATGCCAGTTTCATTAGCACGAGCATGCCAACATCCCCTTTTACAGGTAAACATGCTGCCTTAGGTGACTTTTAGATGCAGCAGCTGTGCTTTTCCTTTTCTCATAGTAATTTATTTTCAGGGATATAGAGTTTTTACCACTCCAAATACAAAGCCTGGTAAAGATATATTGGCAAGTTTGGTGAAGGCAGTTCATGGTTTGGTGTGTACTCTACTCTTTACCCCTTTTTTATTTCACTTTAAAATTCAACCATCCTGGATAAGATATTCATATGCTCTATCCATTCACCTGAATCACCTTCGATGCCACAATTTGGTACCGTTCTAAGTTCCGCTTTGAGAAAAAAAGTGGTGTCAAGTCCAAAGCAAGCAGATTCAAAATGTTCAGTCTATCTTCTCATATATTGGTGCTTCTGTGAATACCTGAGACAAAACCAGTCTTTCATTAGTATTGTCAGGAGGATATGGTAGAGTGTAGGCTTCCTATCCGCTATAAATGCAACATGATTAGTTATGAAAGATTAGAACCAGCCTAATTAAATATGTTGGATATCATATATTTGAATGTGTGCTCAAGATGATGCCCATGGTAACATAGGTGATAAGTGGTGACATATTAAAGATCATTAGTTTGACTTTTTTAATATTAAGATCTTCATTAGTTTTGACTTTTGACTTTGATCTGTAAATAGGATGGCCAGCATTTCCTTAATGCTGATGAATACACTGTTACCATTTTCAGAAGAGAAAAAAGATCATTAGTTTGACTTACGGTAGCTGAAGCAAACATTTGTAACCAATTTTATGGAAGGTTTCTTTGATAGGGAAAACAAGTGGTATGGATTATAATCCACACTAAAGATGGACGGATTTGAATTCTTGAAACTTATACTCTATGGTTATGTGTAAAAGTACGTCAAATATTTTGGAATTCCTATAATTTGAAGTTAGTGTCTACTAGTGTTTCTAGTGTTTATCATTATCGCATCCTCCATGCGAGAGTTCCATAATCAATCTGTATTTGTTCAGGAATAATCCTCTCTCCGTAATTATAACTATTTTATTGACTGTTTGTTCGTGCTTGGTAACGCCTGTTCCAAATGTTTTTCAGGCAGTGGAGCGACTTGGTAGATCGGTTATGAAAGAGGAAGTTGTTCCTGACGATCTTCTAGTTTTATCTTGTGAAGAAGACTATGAAGTTTGCATCCCTTTCCTTGAGAAAGGTAGACTTCTTATTCTTTTGCCTTGTAAAATCAGTAAGAAGTTTTGTATTAAATTTGAATAATCATGCAAATGCAATCCCATGTTACATCTACAGGATCAACAGTATATAGTTCGGAGCTCCTATTGAATGGGATAGTTACTCAGAGACTGGAGTTTGACAGGTGGTATCTTAATTTCAACTGCGTCGATTATTTATGATAATGATGATAAGTCCTTATGTTTGGGTTTGTGAATGTGTGGATGGTTCAGCCAAAATATTGCAATATGTGATCCCATTTGCCTCCGAATTTTAGTTGCTGATATGAAGATGAATATCCTTGTCTAACCAGCCATATTTGTCCTGCAGGTACCGCCTCTNTAGGTACAGCCTCTTCACAGATTATGTTAAGAGAACTCGTTCAACAGTATGGGTGAAGAAAAATAACAATCAATACCTCGCTGTTGCGAAATGCAAATAAGCTTGAGGCTTAGTTGTCTTTTAAAAGAGTGGCGTATGCATTCCTTTAAGAGGCAGTTGTATCATAAGTGTAGGTATCTGTAAATTTAATTTGTTTTTAATGTATAGCGTTTCAGTCTTCTCTCATGCAATTTTGTGCTATGTAATTTGTTTTTATTCTGCTTTTATATGGCTTCTTGGTACCGTCCCTTGCCTATATTTTTATTAATGTGGTGCTTATACTTTCCTAAGTCGAGGGTCTATTGGAAACATCCTCTATCCTCACAAGCCAGGGGTAAGGTCTGCGTACACACTACCCTCCCCAGACCCCACGGTGTGAGATATTACTGGGTATGTTGTTGTTGGTCTTTTTTCAAACAGTTTGTCCTTTTGGATCTTGAACTGGCTTCAGATTCCGACTAATAATGGACATCTAAAAAAGATAATTAAAGTTAGATGCCAGCAATTTTTCATCTACTGTGGTTCAAATGTCACATGGTCTTTTTTCATCTACATTGAGCTACTATCCTCTAGTACTAGACACAAAAAGAAGACAAGCGATAACTACCTTACCTATATCGGTATACATATTTGACTACCAGAGGTATCAACCACCTCATCACATAAGATGATGAGGAAAAGATATAAGAGAAAATAATACAAAGAAAATACATTTTTAACGTGAAAAAGAAGCATATACAATATCCAATGGGTTTGTTGTTGTTACAATATTCCTATACAGCCTCATCATTTCTCCATCATACTCATTTCATGCAGGGTTAGAATGGTATGGAATGTACATTGCATTGACTCATAGAAGCACCAAAACCCAATACTGATGCTATCTATCATTACTGAATAGACTGCCTGCAACTGAAGCTGCCAAAAGCCAAGATTACTCCTCATTTCATATCTGCCAAAAGTGTTGTGTGCGCACAATTTAAAGACAGGATCTTCGATTAACAGACTAGAAATTATCCAAGAGTTATCAAATATCAACTGCATAATCTTACCATAGAGTAGAAAACATGTAGAGTAATGGCCACAAGAGAAAACTCTAGAGCGGCATATGTACTCTCTAATAGCTGCATTTCCAATGAAAAATCTATAACGTAAGTCTTCTAGTATTTGATAAATAAAATTTAGGCGCAAAAATAGATGCCAAAAGACCTAGTGTTAAACGCAAATGGTGCAGTAATCACAAGCGTCTGAGTTTTCACTTTTCATGTTCAAGAGACAGATTTAAAATATGAATTTCACAAATAATAAAAATATTATAAAAATATAGTATAAAAGTTGATGGATGACATGACATTCCACGTAGTTGGCGTCATCAAATTCCACCTTTCTACTTAAGAGTTGGCAAAAGATATAAAAGCTGATGGATGTGCATATATTCTATTCCAAAGCTGACATCAAAATGCAGCTGACACACACACTAATGTTTTTAATTGAGAAAGGAAAGGTAATCAATTCTACAAATTATTGTTTGATAAAACTTTATGACCCTTTTTTTTTGCTTCCTAAGCAAGGTGGATTTTATAGGCAAATAATGAATTTTATTATGTTTATTGTTTAGTAGTTTAAAGTTTAAACTCTAATGAAATGTTACATAAAAGGACCAAGATAATGGTCTAATTTCTGAGGTAATAGGGGCGGATTTACATGTAAAACTTGGGTGCTCGAGCACCCATTAACCTCGACTCGGAGTATGTATAATTACATAGAAAATTTAAGCGAACGGATATAATTAAACAACAAGCACGCAAGTAAGTGCTGGAGGGTTATGAAAGTTGAAGGTTGAGAGACCGAAGCTGAATCCTAGCAAGATTAAGATTGTTTTACTCCCTTTTTCTTTTCTTATATTATCAAGCACTATTTTTCTTTTGCCCCAATTATTAGGTCATCTTTTTTGCTTTTCACCAGCTATTTTTTTTATCCAATACTACTGTTTTATTATTTCTTTTGATTCTGACTTTTTTTCTTTGCTTTTCCTTCTACTTCATCTAATTCACCATAGGAAAGAAAGAAAATGAAAGTTTGCTTCAAAAAATAAAGAGTTCCTCCGGAACGGTAAAATTCACTAATTTTCTTTCTCGTCCATTGCGTTATCCATCACAGTTTTTATGGCATTTGTAATATTAATTCTATGGGTTTCTCATTAATTTTTTATCGTGTTTAAATAGTTGTGCACTTATACGATTTGATTGGTGGTAACTTTACGTCAAATAAAGTTAAACACTCACGAACACAAAATCCTGAATTCGCCTCAGTGAAGCAAGCAAACACGATATGTTGGAGAAAAATTATTGTTTTTGAATGCATCACCAGGGAAGAATAGGCAACACTGATATAGAGGAACTGTTGGAAATTTTAAGCTTTTCCAACATTATGGAACCAAGTTGGGGAAAATGAAAGAAATGCCATATAGTTGCACTTTGCTTTACTCATCTAGAATATATTACTCCATCCGTTTCAATTTAGATGACACACTTTCCTTATTAGTCCGTTCCAAAAAGAATGACACATTTCTATAATTGAAAACAATTCAACTTTAAATTTTTTATTTTACCCTTAATAAGAAGCTTTTATAACAACACAAATGTCATGGCTCCACAAAGCTTTTACCCCTTAAACTTTTAAGACCACAAGTTTCAAAAGTATCCCTCTTTCTCTTAAACCCGTGCCGAGTCAAATTACCTCATCTAAATTAAACTTCGTGCTTTCTATTTGGGATTAGCCATCTATTTTTACACTGCAGGATTACAGATCAACTATGAAAGATATTGATTAATTTCAAAGGTATCTCATGGACAATGCCCTCTAAGATTACTAAAGTGCTTACTAGTTGGGATGAAGCTGAAACTGGAGCTGGAAACAGAGATAGATGGAGGATTGTCCCTACATGTATATGGTGGACAATCTGGAAGGAGAGGAACTCTAATTGTTTTGAAGACAGTAGCAATTCAGTGCATAAGACAAACTGAATAGTGTTCTTCTTTTTTTATTTTTGGTGTAAACAGAAGTGCCCAGAAGATACTGTATCAATCCTAGAAGTTTTAGAATACTGCTCGGATTGTAGATCATTTTATTCTTTCCTTTTGTTCTCTTGTAATTATGGTTTCAGTACAACCTATGTACCGTTATATATTAATACACACAAATGTTACCATCTCAAAAAATTGAAACGGAGGGAGTATGCTGTAATTTTTCATTTTCTAGCTATTCAAAAATCTGAGCTCAATTATTTCTCAGGACAGAGGACCTAGCATCATAGCTCTTAAAGTCGTGACATAATGAGATAGCACAGTGTAATAACAAGATGCAAGCAGAGGTCAGGCCTGCCTTATGTTCTAAAGGGACATCCTTTCCAACCAGGCTCACTGGGTATAATTATATAAAAATGATTATCAAATGGATATTGCTCAAAACCCAATATTCAATCAAAGTAAAAAAATGTCATTTTGTCTAGTGGATAGACGTACTTACAGTGGGGAATTTATAATAGAGATCATGCTATCTGTGTTTCAGAATCCTCTCTCTTTTTTCTTGGATATGGTAAACCTCAATCCAATAGGAACCAAGCAGTGGCTTTACCTACTTTGCTCCTTCGGTACAAAAGTAGATATACCGGGAAATTAAGGGGAGTCAATACATAGTATATATATACATATAATTTTTTTTACCTACCTACACAGTGTATTTTTTCCGCGAAGTGGTGTTTCCTGCTTAGTACAATAACACTACCAAAAGACCCTGTTCAATTACTCCTACCCAAGTCTCGGATAAACAAGCAGCTGAACAGGAAATAAGAGCATCCAAGGATCAGGAATTTTACCTTTCTATGTTCCAACAGTTGTGTGTGTGTGTGTGTGTGTGTGTTTTGGGGGGGTCTCAAGCCAAAGTTATTTTTAAAATTCTATTTAAAACTAAAATACTAACCAGTAACTTCTCAAGGAAGAAGAAATAACATATTGTGCTGATCAAAACAAGCACCACAAAGTCCTGCCAAGCACTGAAATGACAGAAATTCAAATTTTGATTAGATTCCAAAAACAGACACAGTAACTCAGAAACTAGTTCAACAACGTTGCACAGAGTGTTGCTCCATCATCCAGTACAAGAGCTTCTTCCCACTATTCACAACTATGGATTCAATTTAATTTTTAATAATAAATGCAGACAGATGTTGAAGAAGCACCAATTGGAAGGATCAAACGGAAACGGGAGATAGAACTTCTTCAAATCTCACAAGGCAAACATGTAACAATCAATGCGAAAACTAAGAAAAATTTAGAATGTGTACTTGACACGACCCGAAATCTCATCCGTCGTGATAGCGCCTATTTCAATACTAGTCAAGCCGACAACATCAACAACCCATAATTTCTTTTAAATACGGAAAATATAATAATTAAGTTTAAGAGAAAATCCCACAAATACTGGATATAAATACACTCCCAAAACCCGGTGTCACTGAGTACATAAGCATCTATATATCACTAGTCTAGAAAACACGGTCTATAATAGTCTGAAACCAAATACAGTAAACAAAAGATAGGGAAGGAGAGACAAGGTCTTTGAAACACGGCAGGTACCTTGGAATTTCCGGAAAATCAACTGTGCGAAGGAATTAATACTCACTGTGTCCGGGAACACCTGGATCTGCACATGAAGTGCAGGGTGTAGTATGAGTACAACCAACTCAGTAAGTAACAATATTAAATAAAGAACTGAAGATAGTGACGAGCTTCACACCTAAGTCCAAATACAGTAATTTTCAACATAAAAGGGTATGCATGCTCTCAAGTTCAACATTTAAAATTTCATAGTAATTTCATATCAACTTCGACTGAAACAGAAGATAATGTCTTTTAGAAAATTTTCAAAACAGTGATATATGACCACTGAAATGCAACAATAATGAAATTAATGCATCCTCTCAGAGTAACAGTCACTCAGTCCTCCCATTCACTCCAACCTCACAGTCACTCTTTCCTCTCAATCACTCAGCACTCAGCACACGGCACTCGCACTCAGTAGGTACATGCACTCACTGGGGGTGTGTACATAATCCGGAGGGGCTCCTTCAGCCCAAGCGCTATAACAAGTCAATCATGGCATAAATCAATAAAACATGCTGCGGCGTGCAACCCGATTCCATAAATATCCTCACAATTAGGCCAACGGCCTCACTCAGTTATCAACCTCTCTAGTCTCTCGGGCTCTCAGAAATCATAATAAGCAGCCCAACAACAATGATATGATGCATCAATAATGAACAAAAGAGACAGAGATGTAATATGCAAGTAAAACCGTGACTGAGTACAAAATAGTAATTTAACAGATAATTCAACATGTACACGACCTCTGTGTGTCCCAACAGTGTCAGTCAACACATGGTTTAAACATGATTTATAGTTCAATTTCCCTAATACGTGGAAAAATGTACGGGTAGCAATAATTTATTCAACAACACAGATCCATGGAATTGACCAAGTCACAATTCCTACGATGCACGCCCACACGTACCTAGCAAGTGCGCCACCTCAAAACCAATCACATAACACGTAATCCGGGGTTTCATACCCTCAAGACCAAATTTAAAATTGTTACTTAACTCAAACCGTGTAATTCTTTATTCTGCGATGCCTTTGCCTCGCGAATCGGCCTCCAAACGCCTCGAATCTAGCCACAAATAATTCGATCCAGTCAATACAAATTATAGGAATTAATTCCATATGAAAATATAATTTTTTCCAACAAAAATCCGAAATTGCACTCAAAAATCGTCCGTAGGGCCCACGTCTCGGATCCCGACAATAGTTATAAAATATGAACGCTCATTCATCCACGAGTCCAACCATACCAAATTTACCAAATTACGACAACAACTCGACCTTCAAATCCTCAAATCTTATTTTCAAATCCCTAGGCCCAAATACTCTAATTTCACCTCAAAACTACGTAATCTAGTCGAAATACTCAATGATAATCCAATAAATGCTTCTTATACGATACCTTATACACTTCCTTCTTCCAACTTCAAGAAGCATATCAATAATAACACAACAACAACCTCAAGAACATGTAGGAGAGATGGAATCTTACCTTAATAAACTAGGACCTGCCAATTATGATCCAAACAGTCATGCCATAAGCAGCTACGACAAGCTAATCTATGAGAGATGGAGGGATAAATTCTCTATTATGATTTTGCTGCACACGTTTTGCCCCATCAAAAGATAGAAATTTTTTGAAAATAAAATCCCAAAGTTGCCTCTCAATCTCTTACGTTTTTGTACTTTTAAGGCTAGGTGATGATGCTTGTTAATAATATACATATTCTGAAAATGAAACTTTGAAGTTTACTAATACTTAGTGGGTTGTGGGGCCACATGATAATCATTTAATAAGAAAAAGAAGCTTAGACATGGAGCAACCACCAAGATATACCTATCCATGGAACATGAGTCATAAAGTAGAGATTTGAGTAGTCCTACGTGGACTCCATAATTGTCCCCTATTTTGGATACTTGTCTTCCACTAATCCCTAATTACATCCTTGTATTTAACTAATTACCCACATAATTAATTTCTAAATCTCATTTCACTTAAATACTAATATAATTCATATACCTTACTATCAAGGCCATATGGTATAGCACTAGTCCATAAATATGAGGTATTATAGCTTGGACCGTATTTTATCCCAAAATGTAAAACTTCGACCAACCTCATTTTCTTCAACTCGTTTACTCTCTGACCTTCACGACTCTTACTTATCACTTGTTTGAAATAGCATAATACTTATAACCATCAAAATTCAAATCAGGAGTCGTTTACACATAAGTCAACATCCGGTCAACTTTTTCAACTTAAGTTTTCAATTATGAGACTAAGTGTCTCAATTCACTTCAAAATCCTTCCGGACCCGAACCAACTAACATGGTAAGTCATAAAACGAGTGTAAAGTATAAATTGAGCAGTAAATGGGAAAACGAGGTTATAATACTCGAAACGACCGGCCGAGTTGTTATATTCTCCCCATCTTAAACAAACGTTCGTCCTCGAACGGGTTTAGAATCATACCTGAAACCTCAAATAGGTGTGGATATTTGCTCTGCATCTCCCACTCAATCTCCCAGGTAGCTTCTCCGACTGGTTGGCCTCTCCACTGCACTTTCACTAAAGTTATGTTTTTTGATCTCAGCTTTCAAACTTGCTGGTCTAAAATGGCCACCGGCTCCACATCATAAGTTAAATTACCATCCAACTACACTGTGCTGAAATCCAATACATGAGACGGATCCCCGACATACTTCCGGATCATAGATACGTGAAACACTGGATGAACACCTGATAGACTAGGTGACAAAGGCAAGTTCATAAGCCACCTCTCCAATCTTCTTAAGCACCTTGAACGACCCAATATACCGAGGGCTCAACTTTACCTTCTTCACGAACCTCAACACAGCCTTCATGGGCGAAATCTTGAGCAGAACCTTCTCCCCAACCATGTAAGTAATATAACGGACCTTCCGGTTAGCATAACTCTTCTGTCTAGACTGCGTCATGCGAAGCCACTCCTGAATCAATTTAACCTTCTCCAAAGCATCCTGAACCAAATCAGTACCCAATAGCTTAGTCTTACCCGGCTCAATCCAACCCACCGGAGACCGACACCATCTCCCATATAAAGCCTCATACGGAGCCATCTGAATGCTCGATTGGTAGTTGTTATTGTAAGCAAACTCTGCTAGTGGCAGAAATTGATCCCAAGAACCCCCAAAATCAATGACACAAGCGCGTAGCATATCTTCCAATATCTGAATAGTGCGCTCGGACTGTCCGTCAGTCTGAGGGTGAAATGTTGTACTCAACTGAACCTGTGTGCCCAATTCTCGCTGCACTGCTCTCCAAAACTGTGATGTAAACTGCGTGCTCCGATCTGAAATGATAGACACTGGCACACCATGTAGGCGAACAATCTTGCGGATATAAATCTCAGCCAACGGCTCTGAAGAATAATTAGTACCAACTGGAATAAAATGCGCAGATTTGGTCAACCAATCTACAATCACCCAAACAACATCAAACTTTCTCAAGGTCCGTGGGAGCCCATCTATGAAATCCATGGTAATACGCTCCCATTTTCACTCCGGAATTTTAAGTCTCTGAAGCAATCTTCCCCGTCTCTCATGCTCGTACTTCACCTGTTGACAATTTAAACACCGAGCTGCAAACCCAACTATATCTTTCTTCATTCGCCTCTACCAATAGTGCTGCGTCAAATCCTGATACATCTTCGTGGCACCTGGATGAATGGAGTACAACGAACTGTGAGCTTCCTGGAGAATCAACTCACGCAAACCATCTACATTAGGCACACATAGCTTGCCCTGCATCCGTAATACACCGCCATCCCCAATATTGACTTCTTTGGCATCACCGTGCTGAACCGTGTCCTTAAGGACAAGCAGATGAGGGTCATCATACTGACGTTCTCTGATACGATCATAAAGAGAAGATTGAGAAACCACACAAGACAAAACTCGGTTCGGCTCGAAAACATCCAATCTAACAAACTGGTTGGCCAAGGCCTGAACATCCAAGGCTAAAGGCCTCTCTGCTACCGGTAAGTATGCTAAGCTGCCCAAACTATCCGCCTTACGACTCAAGGAATCGGCCACCACATTGGCCATTCCGGGATGATAAAGAATGGTGATATCATAATCCTTAAGCAACTCCAACCATCTCCGCTGCCGCAAATTAAGATCCTTATGTTTAAACAGATGTTGTAGACTCCGGTGATCAGTATAAACCTCACAATGGATACCGTACAAATAATGCCGCCAAATCTTCAAGGCATGAACAATAGCTGCTAACTCAAGGTCGTGGACTGTATAATTATTCTCATGTACCTTTAACTGTCTGGACGCATAGGCAATCACCCTACCGTCTTGCATAAGCACTGCGCCGAGACCAATACGCGACGCGTCACAATACACAGTATAAGACACTGAACCTGTAGGCAACACCAATACTGGGGCTGTAGTCAAAGCTGTCTTGAAATCAATACCCTTGTCGGGCGGCATACCCGGCAGGTCTGTAGGAAATACATCCGAAAAGTCTCGCACGACCGATACTGAATCAATAGTAGGAGTATCTACATCAACATCTCTCACAAAAGCCAAATATGACAAGCACCCCTTCCCAACTATATACGTTGGGATTTTAAATAAGAAATTACCCTGCTGGGAACATGATCTAGAGAACCTCTCCATTCGACCATAGGCAACCCCAACATCGCCAATGTCACGATTTTTACGTGACAGTCCAGAATAGCATGATATGGAGACAACCAATCCATACCAAGGATTACATCGAAGTCAACCATACTGAGCAGTAAGAGATCAACTCTAGTCTCCCAATAGTTACCAAACAAGACCGATATACACGGTTCACAATAATAGTATCGCCCGCCGGCGTAGATACACGAACAAGTAAAACTAAGGACTCATGGGGCATATCCAGATAATGAGTAAAGTACAATGATACATACGAATAAGTAGAAGTAGGGTCAAATAATATTGAAGCTTCCTTGTGGCACACTGAGACAATACTTGTGATCACTG